AATCTAATAAACTTTATTTTATCTTTTTATAATTATTAGATATTAAAATATTATAATTTTTCTATAATATTTTATAGCCAATTTATACCTATGCTTTAAGAAATAAGTAATAAAAAATTTTAATTCTTTAGTATTAAAATTACAAAATTTTAAGATATATTATGAAAAATGGTAAATGTTAGGAATAAAAAGGTTTAAAGCATAGTATCATTATAAAAATGTAAAATAATTGATTATTATCAAAATAATTGCATAATGCTTTCATATTTTTTTTATGATTTTTTTATTTCTTATGTTTATATAAAATTACTATTATACTTTATTATATAAAGTAAGAGAAATAAAAAAAGTAGTTAATAATCTTAATTGATTATTTTTATAATATTGTATTATTTACTTATATATTATTTGCTAATGTAATATATTTACTAATGTATTATTATTTATTAATATAATAAATATATAATAAATAAATCAAAAGAGTTATATAAAATATTAGTCATATAATTTTAGAAACTGATGATATATCATTATAGTGAAATTACAAACTCTAATTTTTTTATTTTTAATAAAATAAATAAATAATATGTAATTTTTTATATATAGTTAACTTTTGATATAGCGAACTTTTGATATAATGAATTTTTTGAACAAATATAATAAAATACTCTTATTATAACAAATTGGCCAATCAAATCTCTTAAAATATTCACTATAGCCTTATAGTGAAGTTGAGATCTAGAATATAGAATTCATTATAATAAAAGTTGACTATAGTTTATTATTTTCTTAATTCGTGATCTGTGTAATAATTGGACAAATTTTAGTACATCAAACTGGGATATTAAACATATAGAAAATTTTGTCAAACTAGATTCTGGTTTTTTATTATTCAACTGTTTCTTTAAATACCCTTGTAAATAATGCTTAAACGCAAGTGTTGCAGTAAAAGTTATTTAACAACTTTTCTTATAGCTGAAAAAATTGTTTCAGAAATACATTATGAACCTTTTTCTTATGCATGGTGGATCGCGAGCAAAAGAAATATAAATAACTAAATAAAACTACTAGTTCTAATAAATTTAGGTATGAAAACGCTTACAAAACTCAATAGTCATAATTTTATTATTACTGTTTTAGAACCTGATATAAGAACTTCGCCTGTTACAATATATCAAGCAACTTGTAAATCAAAGCATAGTGAAATATGCTCAAACTCTTCAGTTGCTATTACATCATTATACCAAGATTTATTTCATACAAAAATGAAATTTTCTGAACTGCTTGTTATGGGATTTGACCAACAGGTTATTGTAGAAGAGTTACTAAAAATATTCAACTTTAACCTTTTGAGATTTTTGTAGAAAGGTTTCGAATAATAGTCTTTGATATTGGCATGTCAAAAAATCAAGAATGAAATTATGCTGGTGCTGGATATCAGTCATCTTTTATTAACAATATAAGAAAAAAGCAATTTTTATATGTTCAAAATTTTACTGATAAGAAATATATTCTTACTGTTTATGAAGAAAATAAACGTCAAACAATTGTTTGTGGAAAAAATCCAACAGATGTTTAGTCTAAAATAGATCACAAACTAGAATTCGATGCTAATAAACTGTTTGGTATTGATAATGAATATACACAAGCATTAATTGGCCAACTGCGAATTTCATCATGTACATTAGAAGAATGGAATGATATACTTTTATTACAACAAATCTTTGAATATCATCTCAAGAAAAGAATAAAATCTGATATCAATTGGCTTAGATTTATTGAGAATTAGAAAAATCAACAAAGTGAAATTATTAAATTATGAACTTCTTTGATGCAGATATATGGATCTAAGTATCAAATAAATTCACAAAAACTTTATGCCTGAAGAACAATGCTTTGATATATGAGCTGTATAGAAATTACATTCTATAATAAAAATCAATCTGAGATAAGTAATGAAAATATTTATAAGTACGAATAAATAATAATAACAAAACAAAAAAATATTTATTTATTTGAACTATATTTACAGTTTGAATTTTGAACAAGATCAATAAATTCAGACAAAGATCGTGCAGCATTATAGACTTTGTATGATCTTAGTTTTCTTCACCCCATACCAAATGAATGTCATCAGATTGAGACTTTTTGGAACTGTATTCAAGAATCATTGAATGTAAACAAAAAAGGTCAAGATGGTAAGAGGCGTATTTTATCAATTGTTGCAGATCAGTTTTCATATGATGAAATCAAAAATAATTTAAATGTTAGTAAATATGTCAGGGACTTTAATCCAGAAGATGGATAATATTCAATTCAAATTATTTTTTATTATTAGATTACCTCATCATATACAATTTATGAAACACGTTAGTATGCAAGACTACATGGTCCATGTGTTAAATGTATTGAAAAACCTGTTTTACTTGTACAACAATTTCTCAAGAAAAGTCTAACCAGTTACAATAATTTTTAGATGATAAAAATAATGTTGTAATGAGTAGCTATAAAACAGAAACTAAAACTGAATTTCTAGTAAAATATCTCAAAAATATGAAAAAAGCTTTATAGGAAAAGTTTAGTATGCAATTTCCAGATAGTATTAAACGAACATCTTTTATGATATTTTTGCAAGGAAAGCAATATATTTATCAAGAAAATCTTGGTGGTCTTTATTCAATTTGTAGTCGTTATGAGTATGAAATTTTTGCAGATATGAAAAAATTTGTTGAAAAAAATATTCAAGACAATAATCTTCAAGTAGGCAATTTATAATTTATATTTATTTATGTAATCACAAAGCTTACTTATTTATTTTTGATTTATTTTATTGTAAATAAACTATCCTTTACAGTGTATAAAATTTGGACCAAAAGTTATGTGCACAAATTGTACTAAAAATAGAAAATTAATGCATGTATTACATAGTATTTCCATTTTTATAAATAATTTATCCATTTTTATATATAATTTATCTATTTTTAGTAATTATTTGTGCACATTTTATGCTGTGTAATATGTGCACATAAAAATTTAATGTGCACATGTGCACATTGTGCACATGAATTTTACACACTGATCCTTTATCATTACCAAGAAAAACTATTTCAAAAAACTTAAACATTTGCATCATTACTTTAAAAAGTCTTATGAATAAGAACTTAAAATTGTTGCAAATGTAACTGTTTCTCATAACGCTTGCATTAGCTACTGTCTTCCATATGCTTTTGGCATTTATACAGAATCACATGATCATGAATATGTTGAATGTGAATAATTATTTAAAATCTTTCGCCAATTAAAAAAAGATACTTCTATTATATTATATAATAAACTAGATGAATACCATGAATACCTTCTATATTATCTTATACACTAAATGCGCAAAGTATATTTAAATGCACAGTTTAACGTAAATTTATTAGAATTAGACAAAAAAAAGTGTTTATAGTTGTAGATTATAAGATGAAAGTACTACCTAAAAGTGCAAGGGAGACAAAAAAACAATTTTTTGGAAAGAAGGGTTGGACTCTACATTCAGTATTGGTATATACTTGTAAAACAAATTCTCTTGAACTTGATATCTAAACATATGATCACTGGTCTAATGATTCATGTCAAGATACATAGTTTACAGCATCCAGTCTTCATGCTGTTATTGAATCTATGAAAAAAAAACCAGAGTGGGTTAGCATTATCTCTAATAATAGAGCTCATTACCATAATACAGATCTAATGATGATTTTGAGATATTGGTCAGATTGGTATAATATTTGGTCTAAAAAGTGAATATTTCTTGAGCCTGGAGAAGTGAAGACAACCATTAATAGTCATCATACTCAGGTCTATTTAAATCTACCTATTTGAATTATATTATAATTTACTACTTACCTCACATTTGAATAGATTGCTCATACTATCAATCGGTATGTAAAATTGGAATTTGATATATCATCGGGGAAAGATATTGAGAATGTAATATCTGGAATTTGTGGAATATCTGTATTTCATCTAGAATCAGATAGAAAGAAAGGTATCTGATATTTTATTAAATTAAAATCAGTCAAATTATTAGTAAATTTTCAAACTGTTTTTCTTACAGAAGTTGGAAAAGCCAAAAATAAATTACCCAGAATTTCAAGTTGGTTTAAATAGTTATGGCCTCTCACTGACAAATATGCTAGTTATATTCGGGTAAGGGATATTGCAAATTTTGGCGCCTGAAAAAATTTTTTTCTAAAAGATTTAGAGAAATTACAATCAAAAATAATTGGAAAACCAAATCCTAATGTATCAATGTCTTCAATACCTGAGAATACATAGACAATTCCACTGCTAAATGATACAGGTTTTGTGAGCCTACTTTAGCCTGTGATAATCTTCAGATAAACAAGCAACTGATTCAATATAAAATATAGG